GTATGCATGTTACTAACGAACCACAAATCTTTTAATTTTTTCAAACTATATACTTTGTATTTTAATACTAAACATCGGATCTTCATATGTTTCTCAAGGAGACTACGATAGAGAGGGGTTTTTAAGAGATTCGGGTTCCATTACTACGACATACGTGTGAAGATATTTGAGGAGAAGCGGGCATCACAAATCAATTTTGGGGAAGTTCACGAATTTACCCCACACCTATCAATGGAACTAGATAAACGACGAGGACGGAATGAACAAGGAACCGGAACAAGTTCCAAACTTCATGCTAGTACCCGATCGAAATTAGGATGACATGTATCATGAGCCTCCCGAATTTAATGAGGAACCCCTACCATTGGACGTCATGTACCCCGACGGATATCGTCATGATATGCACGGGCATGCTTTGGACGACGACAATGACAATGGATCGAACGGTGAAAATTCGGGAGTAATAGATCCTTAAATTCCTATATTCACTATTTATATGAATGGAGTGCCCCATTTTTTTCCCCTAATTGGCACATGTACGATGTAATTCATCGAGTTTTTCCCTATGTCTAGTGCCAACGGATCGTAGACCTTTACTAATTGTATTGTTGTTATGTAATGGTAGTATGGTACTCCACTATCTCCCTACAGATTTTTCAACTACTCTTAGCAAATTATCATATAATGTGTACTATATAAACACAATATTTAACAACATAACAAAATATGGTCATTCAAAACACGAAACTAAACTTTACTTCCGTTCAATAGATCAATACAGCTTCAAGTTCTTCTAAAAAAAAAAAAAAAACCCCTCATAGGCTACTGTATGCATATATGAAGTTTTTAGCATACATGTAATTCTTACATAAAGTAATCAATAATTCACAAGAAACAAACAAATCCTTCAATGGCAATTGAACCATATAGGAGATCAAGAAACATAACCAAAACACATGCTAGACATATAAAGCAAACTAATTTGTATTTTTTCGTATTTTCCTTATCCTTAATGACTTCAAGTTGTGATTCTAAAAGATTAATTTTTCTAAAAAACATTCTGTAAAAAATTTCAAACTACAATTTCATGACCAAATCAAATACAATATTGCAAAAACAATGGAACTAACATCTCATTTTGGGCAGGTAACAATACGGCGCCCCGGGTTTAACGAAGTCCAAGATGTTTGCACAAATGTCCGTATCCCGCAACGACAAGTGGGTGGATGGCTTCGATTTCCATCCTAGGACTCATTCATACCCGTCTGCACGAAATGCCTACTATTGTTCATTATGCTAGGGACGACTTTGTTTTCGAATGAATTTTTAATGATGTTAATTCAAATTAGTATTTGTCATGTTGCAGATATTTGGAGTTTTTAATGATGTTAAATCAAATACAATATTGCAAAAACAATGGAACTAACATCTCATTTTGGGCAGGTAACAATACGGCGCCCCGGGTTTAACGAAGTCCAAGATGTTTGCACAAATGTCCGTATCTCGCAACGACAAATGGGTGGATGGCTTCGATTTCCTTCCTAGGACTCATACCCGTCTGCACGAAAAATGCCTACTATTGTTCATTATGCTAGGGACGACTTTGTTTTTGAATGAATTTTTAATGATATTAATTCAAATTAGTATTTGTCATGTTGCAGAGATTTGAAGTTTTTGCCGATGTTCGATGTTGATTTGGTAAAGTTGGAATTTTTATTTTTAATCCTTGTTTTGAGAATTGGAATTATTGTAGTCTTTACACCGTGAATATCTTTGGTCAAGAAAAGAAATATTGACCAAGGACTTATATATAAATACATGTGAAATCAATAACAGTCATTCAAATCAAATGAAAAAATTAAACTATCAAGTATTAATAATCCTACAAACCAAAGAGTATTTTATAATACTAAATAATAGTGAACAGTGCAATATTCTATAATCATTATTAATGCAATATTCTATAATCAATATTGATTTTACAATCCCATCACACCAACCAAAAGGGCCCTTACAGTGTTATTTATATTTTTAGTTAGAATTAGTATAATTAGTACTCTACTAAACCACTCGGGCCACCCGGGTTCGTCCCCCAATCTCACCATTTTTTGGGTCCTCAGGCCCCCCGCCGGGTAGACCCGTCAGGTCTTGGATCCAAAATATCTGGACCCAAGACCGGCCCCCCGCCGAGTAGACACGTCGAGTTTCGACGCCATTTTTTGGGTCCTCGGGCCCCCCACCGGGTAGACCCGTCAAGTCTCAGATCCAACATATTCGGACCCGAAACCCGAAACAAACCCGTGCTTTGATGGGTCCATGGTCAGCGGAGCGGTCGGGCCACCCGGGTTCAACCCCCAATCTCACCATTTTTTTGGTCCGCGGGCCCTCCGTCGTGTAGACCCGTCGGGTCCTTGGATCGAAAATATCTAGACC